CCCTCCCCCCTCTCATGTGCTCTCTCTCTCATTCTCTCTCTGTCAAATAATAAATAAAATCTTTAAAAAAAAAAAAAAAAGTTAAAAATAGAACTACCCTATGACCCAGCAACTGCACTACTAGGTATTTATCCAAAGGATACAAAAACAGTGATTCGAAAGGACACATACACCTCAATGTTTATAGGAGCAATGTCCACAATAGCCAAAATGTTGAAAGAGCCCAGATGTCCATCTACAGATGAGTGGATAAAGAAGATGTGGTATATAAATACAGTGGAATATTACTCAGCCATCAAAAAGAATGAAATCTTGCCATTTGCAATGACATGGATGGAACTATAGGGTATTATGCTAAGCGAAATAAGCCAGTCAAAAACAAATACCATATGATTTCACTCATATGTGGAATTTAAGAAACAAAACAGATGAACATAGGGGAAGGAAAGGAAAAATAAAATAAGATAAAAACAGAGGGAGGCAAACCATAAGAGACTCTTAACTCTAGGTAACAAACTGAGGGTTGCTGCAGGGGATGTGGGTGAGGGAAAGGGATAATTGAGTGATGGGCATTAAGGAGGGCACTTGATGTAATGAGCACTGGGTGTTACAGGCAACCAATGAATCACTAAATTCTACCCTTGAAACTAGTAATACACTATATGTTAACTAAATTGAATTTAAATAAAAAAAAATTTTTTTTAAAGTCATCAGTATTATATGCAGAAACAATTACATAGCAAATGTGGTAAAATGTTAAAATTTAGAAAATCTGTGTGAAGGACTTACAGAAATTCTCTATGCTCTTATGGCAATTTTTCTGTAAGTCTGAAATTATTTCAAAATGGATTTTAAAGATTTTTATTTTTATTTATTTGACAGAGAGACAGTGAGAGAGGGAACACAAGCAGGGGGAGTAGGAGAGGGACAAGCAGGCTTCCCGCTGAGCAGGGAGCCCAATGCGGGGCTTGATCCCAGGACCCTGGGATCACAACCTGAGCTGAAGGCAGACGCTTAACAACTGAGCCACCCAGGTGCCCCTCAAAATGGATTTAAAAGTGCATGAAAACACTCATGTATTAACTGCCTAGGCCAAGAAATAAATGTAAAGTTACCTCAGAAACCCCTGATTACATTCCCTTCTCTCCTCTAAACCAAATTAACCACTAACCCAAATATAGCATTAATCATTGCTTTATTTTTTAAAAGTTTTTAGTATCTGGGTAAAAAAAAAAATTAAGACCTCATTTTGCCTGGTTTTAAACCTTATATAATGTCTGTAATTTACATAATGATGTAATTATGTAATTTCTATAACCTCTTTTAAATATGTTCTTGTATTAATGACTGAATCAGGTTCACAAATCTTCACTACTTTATCCTATTTTGTATTTTTATAAGCCAAATTCTACTACAGGTGGGTATTTGAGCTCTTTGTCTACATAGGTGCTCCACAGTCTTGCATGTGGCTGCTGGTACACATGTTCAAGAGTTTCTCCAGGGTATATGACTAACAGCAACATTGTTGGATCATAAGGGACATGTGCAGGTTCAACTGTGCCAGTGATATCAAACTGCTTGCCAAAGTGGTTATATTAATTTACTCTCCCAAAAGCAATGGATGAGCAAGTTCCTCTTGCTTCACTTCTCTGCCAACACTGTATTGCCAGAATTTATTTTCTGTTAGTACTGAAAGTGGTTTTAACTTGCATTAGCCTTCCTGGGAATCCTAGCTTTAAGAAAGGGGTCTCCTATTGTATTCCCCATCTTGGACAGACCTTAGGGAGCCAAAATAAAAAATAACACAAATTTTTAACAAAGAAAAAAGTTTTAGGGCGCCTCGGTGGCTCAGTCTGTTAAGCAACAACTCTTGATTTCAGCATAGATCATGATCTCAGAGTAGTGAGATCAAGCCCCATGTGGGGCTCCGCACTCCACAGGGAGTCAACTTGGGATTCTTTTTCCCTCTCCCTCTGTTCCCCCTTCCCCAAATGTGCATGCAAGCGGGTGCACTCTCTAATAAACAAATAAATCTTAAAAAAAAAAAAAAAAAGTTTCACTTCACTCAGTTCAGCAAATCCCCTTAAAGTGAAAGTTTCATTTTTTAGAAGATTTTATTTATTTATTTTATTTATTTTAATTTATTGCATGCAGGAGGGGGAGGAGGGGCAGAGGGAGAGGGAGAAAGAATCCCAGGTGACTCCAGTGGAGCACAGAGCCCTATACTGGGCTTAATCTCAGGACCCTGAGATCACAATCCTAGCTGAAATTGAAAGTCAGATGCCCAACAGACTGAGCCACCCAGGTGCCCCTAAAGTGAAAGACACTTTCACTGCTTTGCTTGTCTCTCTAGGTTCCCATCTCACAATCCGTAGCTTAAATATTCCTTAATTATGTCAACTCTTAAATACATTCAACTTTTTTTTTTTTACATTATCCTGTATTTTCAATTGTTTTTCAGTGGGAAAATCCAACATGTAGCCAGAAACACAAGTCCAGGCAGAATTTCTTTTCACTTTCCTCAAATGCTGAGATGACTAGGAAAAGGATGAAGGAAAGTGGGAAGGGAGAAATGAGCGTGTGTTGTGTGCAGACAACATATGCCCAGAAGAGATGCACAAAGGCTATCAAAGGGGCAACACTGTTCTCAAAGTCTTGCAGCCAAGAGGAAGCCATTTCTGGTTGCCTCTTTCCTTGAAATGCTGACAAAACTATGACATGCAGCCACATGCACAGAAAGTTATTAAAGAAGTGCCTGAAGAAGCTATACCTTAAGTAATCTGGAGTACTGTCTTAAAATATTAAAGGATTACTCAAATCTACCACAGTATTTAGTGACTTGCTAAACAAATACTGATATGAAAAAATATGAAGAAATTATAAAAAGTATTCAATTGACTAACTTATTTTGATAATTTTGAGAGCATAGGAATACTACTGGAAAATAATGAAGTTTATTTTTCTCTTCTCCTTTAGTTAATAATAAGCACAGTTACTCTCTCATGGCTTACAAAAATGCAGAACACAGAAATACACAGACACATGAGGGCCAGTGTTATTAACTATGGGATAAGCTTTATGTGCTCTACTTGACAAAGCTACTTAAAAAAAAAAAAGATTTTATTTTTAAATAATCTCTACACCCAATGTGGGGCTCAAACTTATAACCCTGAGATCAAGAGTCATGTGCTCTACCTACTGAGCCAGCCAGATGCCCTGAGACAAAGCATCTTTTTAAGTAACTATTCTAAAATGATTATCTCTTTTACCTTTTCCTATGTCTTTAAAAGACTGTTTGGTTATTTTGGAGGTACTAATTCTATGATCATTCTCAATTAACTCTTCTTTTTTTTCTCGTTGCTTCAAATCTTGAAAAGAATCCAGTTCATCATCTAGGCTTTAAAAAAAAAAAAAACCCTATCACAGCATTCTGGAAGTTTTCTATAGCATTTTAAAAAGATAAAACTGCTTTTCAAATATTAACAGCATAACAACTGAAAAAAAATTTAACAAGTAAACATTTTTGAAAATGGAAAACAAAATGTGAAAAGTAAGTCACTGATCCTAAAAAGTCACCACAGGTACCTTTCTACATAATCCAATGGGCTTAATTTAAAATGACATATACCTGTAGAACGCTCTACAACTGCCAAACTCTTTCTTTTGATTCCTAATACTTCTGTGAGGTAGATATAACAGGTCCTGTTAGCTATAATTTTAGCTAAAAGAACTAACATTTAACAGGAAGAAACTGAAACCTAAAGAATTTAAATAACTGACACATGACGTTAACTAGTAAAAGGTAAAGCAGAACTAGAATCTCAGGTGTTCTCTCCAAAAAGATGATCTCAAAGTTGAAATTTCTAGAGCAGTGCTGCTCAAAGGAATATAATTCAAGTCACATAAGGCAATTTAAAATTCTCTAGTAGCCGTATTAAAAACATAAAAACACAAAATTTTAACAATGTTAAGTATTTTAACAATATTTAACCCAGTATATCTAAAAGATTATTTTAATATATAATCAGTATTAAAAAATTATTAAGATATTTTGCATTCTTTTATCCATCTTTGAAATCCGGTGTATTATTTCTTACTTATATTTCACGTACTCAATAGTCTCCTGTGCCCTGTGGCTACTATGCTGGATAGCACTATAATTCCAGATTAGATCATAACTAGAGATTATGGAAAAAACTGCCTAATGTTACAAAAACTTTCATAGTTCAAAAGCTTCAAGTTATAACTTGAAATTATACCCAGATCATTTATGATAACAAAAAATGATAAAACTATTAGTTAAATATAAGAAAATAATTTCCAGAAATTCATAATTATCTCAAAATAACTTTTACTTTCCTTACTCTATATTCAATCTACCTCATGTCCAAATCTTAAATCCATATCAACAAAGCTACTTTGTGAATGCCAAATGAAATAGTATAACAATGATAATAGCACATTTGAATGCTTTTCTATGTATTAAGCACTGTTCTAAGTGCTTTACATGAATTAAATCATTTAAGTAGAAAATGAGGCAATTATATAAAAAACTCAAGCTCCCAAATATCAATTACATGAATAATTTACACATATTTTTGGCAGAGTTAGCTTTTCTTCTCCCCATGATTATCTCAACATTTCATTTTGTATATGTATACATCTTTATGGTTTAACATTATTCCAAAACATTTACCCTTCTTGATATACATAGCACCTCCTTCTGCCACATATTTATGGCATTTAATTGGATCTAATTCAGAACTTTATTTCACCTTAGCTTCCACTGTTTTTATATTGGTTTCACCCACTCACAGCCCAGCACTCTGCACATTTGTAGTTAGCATCCCCTTAGACTGATTTCTTCAATCTCTCTACCTAAAATATAGCTTACCACACTAGAAGATACACAATGGATACTGAGTTAAATATCACTGTCTAACAAACCTGCATTCATCTGTATCCTAGCTCCTTAAAAAAAAAGGGGGGGGTGGAGCAGGGTCTTCATTTGGGTCCTGGATGAATAACCATAGAAATGATTGTTCACCTTTCATACTGTGTAAATAACTTTCCATTATACCACCAACCATAATGCTAGGCTTATGCTTTTATCACAGAGAGTCTCAGTAAAAATTAATAAATCAGTGTCTTCAACCATTCAGCAGGCTCCAGACTGCTTGTACTTCCTCTCAGAAAAAAGCAAAGACATAAACAATCCACACTTTAATCTGTTTTTTTAGATACCCAAGGGAGAGCAATACTAAGGATTCAAGGTACTTTACCAATTCACATTTAAGTGTTTGAATGAACTACAAAGCGGTGTTGTGCAATGCTTTCTTTCATCAGAATAACATCTTAATGATGAACCCACTTTATCTCCAGATGAGAAGATACCCAAATCATCTGTTAACAAAAAAGAAAATAGCAGAGATTACTAAAATCAGATACTAATTTCATTCTAGGCTTCTAAAGGTAAGGCAGCAAAATTACCTAATGATTTCTTATCTGTATGTCTCTGTAATGCAAACTTCAAAAAACAGGCATCAAATCTTGTATTTATATAGCACTTTACTGATTTCAAAATGCTCTTTCATTTATTACCTTATTTGATCTTAGCAACAACTAGCTTACTATGAAGTAAGCAGAATAAGTGCCTTTAACCCTATTCTAATGATGTGAAGTCTAAGGACCAGAGAAGTTATATGAAGTTATCCAAGTTAACAGAACCAGCAAATGGAAAGATTAAAATTCAGAATCCAGGCTTATTCCTACCTAATCATTATATTTCATCAGTCCTCAGCTTATTTTATAATTTTAAACACTAAACATTTTTTTTATTAGACAGAGAGAGAGCACGAATGGTAGGGGCAGAGAGAAAGGGAGAGAGAATCTCAAGCAGACTCTGCACTAAGCATGGAGCCCAACACAGGGCTTGATCTCACAACCCTGAGATCCCGACCTGAACCAAAACCAAAGAGTCAGACACTTAACTGAATGCAACACCCAGGCGCCCCTAAACACTAAACATTTAACAGACCATTGGCCTATATCTAAACTGAATAAAAGGCAAAGAGAGCTTCTCTGATAAGAAATTTAGAAATATTTTTAAAAACTTTTTGGAATTATCTGATTTTTTAAAAACTAGTTTCAGAGGTAGAATTTAGTGATTCGTCAGTTGCATATAACACTCAGTGCTCATTACATCAAGTGCCCTCCTTAATGCCCACCACCGAATTATACCTTCCCCCCACTCACCTCCCCTCCAGCAACCCTCAGTTTGTTCCCCAGAGCTAAGAGTCTCTGGTTTGTCTCCCTCTCTGATTTCATCTTATTTTTCCTTTCCTTCCCCTATGTTCATCTGTTTTGTTTCTTAAATTCCACATGAGTGAAATCATATGGTATTTGTCTTTGACTGGCTTATTTCGCTTAGTATAATACCCTATAGTTCCATCCATGTCTTTGAAATGTATGCAGCCTTGTCTAACATGCATTTTTACCCCATCAGAAAGTAAATGAGCTATACTTTTTAGTTATATTTTAAAAAGCTGGAAATTTTAGGGCAAATTTCAAAACTAAAATATAATTTTAAGATATTTTTAAGATACCAGACTCAGTAATAACTGGGTTTTTTTTCATACTGAAGGAATGTTTCGGAAGAGTGTTTACAAAATTTCAAAATGAAATAAACTTGGAAAAAAAATGAAATTCTCTAATCTACCATCTGATAAACTTTTAAAGATACGGTTTCTGCTATCACCCCAAAATTCGGTGATTATACTTACTAGTAAAAACAACACTGAAGAAGTACCAACAAATCAAAAGACTAATGGTTAATTAGCTATATATGTTAGTTCCAGATTACCACATAATGTTCCAACCCACCCAATCTCACAATATAATTATCTTTATCAAGTACATTTGATAAATTCTTCCAGTGCAACAATTATTACCCCTGTAACTTGGAAAAGTTTATGCCTCAAAAAAATAGCAGTTTTCTTTACCTAATATACTGTTTAATTTTTAACATTTTTAAAGGCAAAAATGCTGTAACTGAAACACCAAAAAGAATTCAATTTGATTTTAAAGACATCTTACACATTTACCCCCCCCAAATCTTGATTACTATTAGTTCATTACCCGAATGAAAAAAGCTTAGTATCACAAGATATCTGGCACTTAGTCTTAAGCCTAAACATTTTTTTTTAAATGTTTTTTCTCAAATTAAATTTGTTAAAACCCCCAAATATACAAAATACTCCATCAGCTTACCTGGGGAGGTTAGCAATCTTCTCTTCCATTTAGCCTGATCAAAATTTGAAAAATCATACTTAAAAAAAAAAAGACATATTTAATTTATATATTAATAATCAACCTACAGTCTCAAAAGAGTTCCCCACAAATTATGTATTAAGTACAAGGAATAATTACAAAGGTTAGAGTGGACAAATCTGATAGACACTACCTTAACCAAGTAGTCAAAAGTTAGTATCACCAATAATGGGGCAAAGCAACATCACAGGTCTCCTAATGAACAGGAGCAACGCATACATCACTCCTGCCAAAAATGCAAAAACCAGTATCTATCTATCATGAGGTGTATTCACCAGAGAAACTCAGCTGTCCTATAGTCTTCAAAAACATCAACATTATAGAAGGCAAAGAGTTAAGAACCTGTTCCAGAAAAAACAGAAGCGAAAACCAAATGCAATGCTCATTTTTAGATTGTATCTGTACCAGGAAAAAAAATTTTACAAAGGACATTATTGAGATAATTGGTGAAATTTGAAAATGAACCATACATTACATATTATTGTATAAGTGGTAAGTCTCCTTAATTTATTACTGGGGGTATATAAGAGAATATGCTTATTCCTAGAAAATACACTAAAGTATTTATATTTGGGGGTAGTATCACAGTGCCTGCAAGTTACCCTTCAATAGTTCAGGGGGACAATGTGTGTATGGAAAGTCAAAACTAGGAAGATAATAGTAACGCAAATGTGGCAAAATGTTAACAACTGGTGAGTCCAAACGAAGTATTCAAGAGTTCTTTGTATTATTCTTGCAACTTTAAGTTTGGAATTGTTTCCAAATAGGAAGGTTTTTAAAGGAATTAAAATTGCTTTTTGAACTCCACACGAGTCACTGTAAATTAAAGTGCCATACCACCATGTCTGATACATCATAAACCTTCAAGAGCTTATGGTGAAGGAATTTTTCTGATACAAAATTTGTTTTTCCCACATAGGGAGCATCTGCGGCCACAAATGACTTCTGCTCCTCTGGCTACCTTTCGCTAACCCTGTTGCCGGCCGAGCGGCTCGAGGCCCAGAGAGTGGCTCCCCGCCCGAGTGCCCTGCGCACCCCGGCTCCGAGGCTTTGGGCGCAGCTGCCGGGCGGGCGGCTTCACACCTGCAAGAACCGGCCCGCGGACACAGGGACGGGTCGAGGTGAAGGGCGAGGCCTCACCTCGGCGAAGCGGCTACCCCCTAGTCCGTAGCGGCTTTTGAGACGTTCCACTACCAAATCCTGCCCGGGCGGCTTCACTAGCCTCGGCTCCATAGCGCGCCGAGGCCACCGTTGTCACCCTGCGAACAGCTTTCAAACACTCGGCGACGGGGCGCGCAGGGGCGGAGCTCGTACAACGGAACGGCGACGTGACGCACGGCACGCCCCGTCCCGCCCCTCGGGGTCGAGAGCTACGCCGAAGCGCGAGGAGGCCGAGCCTAACCGGGAGGCGGGGGCGCGGCCACTTAAGCGGAGCGCGGGAGCAGCCAGAGGCGTAGGCAAGGGAGAAGCGCGCCAATTTGGAGTCCTTCTGTCTCCTCTTCTCTGTACTGTTAAAAACGTTCTCGTGTTAACAAACGTTTTTCCTGCCGAACGATTTAATGACTAATTCCTTTACTACTGTGTTATTTGGACTGATAAATGGCGTTTTATCTTTGTCTTAAAAAATTTTTGCTACTTGTCTTCCTCGGTCGTGTCCAAGGCGCCGAAAAGTACAATCGTCCACAGCAGTTACACCTTAGCAGGCGTGGCCCCTCACGGGAGGACGCTCAGCCGTAGCCTCAGGCACCTCCACCCCTTCACAGGAAAACACCACTTTCACCGTAACCTGTGCGCCTCGCCTGCAAGTGGGAATGCGCACACGCTACGTCCACAGACGACATGGTCACCAGGATGGTCCAAACTGACTGGTGGCAACCCCCTCTTGCCTCTAATACAGCTTACGTGTATTTAGGGCGCGTTTGGACATAACGAAAATACAGTGCTGTTTAATCGGAATGGTCTTTGCTAACTGTAAAAACAGGCAAAAATCAAGAATATATCGTACTGCAAAGCACAGAATTCTCAAAAAGGATTACTCCCTCACTTCCCCTGCCACTGGCCTGAGTTCCGTATGTATATTAAAAAGCAGTATTAGGGGGCGCCTGGGTGGTTCAGGTCATGATCCTGGAGTCCCAGGATCGAGTCCCGCATCGGGCTCCCTGCTCGGCAGGGAGTCTGCTTCTCCCTCTGACCCTCCCCCTCTCATGCTCTCTCTCTCATTCTCGCTCTCAAATAAAATCTTAAAAATGTATATATAAATAAATAAATAAATAAAAAGCAGTATTAGAATGTAAGTTCCCTGTACGAATGTAATGAATGTAAGAGCATGTACTTTTTTTTAAACAGCTTTTCCCAATACCTAGAAAAGGGCCAGGCATTTGTAGTTGCTCAGTATTTACTGGGATGGTATACCAGCCTAAATCCACTATTAAACCAAGACTAATTGAAAGGAATAACTGAATAACCACTTAATTTCTCTCATTTATACAATTACACTAGTGTAATCCTTTACTTTTCTAAATTGTGAATGTTCAACAGCATGTCTGAACTAACAAATCCTAGATTGTCTAGAGTATCTTTCAAATTCTTCAAATACCAAAGTTTTAGATCATTTTAATAGTTATCTGAAAATTATACCAATATTCTTTGCCATCAAATATTACAGTGTATGAATAATTTTTTATACTCTAAACAGATTTCTAATTAGATAATACAAAGTGGAGCCAGTTGGGGGGAAAAAGTACATGTCGTTGTGGATTTATACTACATTAGCAATTAAATAACAAAGAGAAATTACAAAGTCCTTTCCTGAAATGTGACACAAAGTCTTTGTCATTAATGCCCCAAGCCATCTTTTAAGCATCTTTGGAATACTAATACTGGAAAACAGTTTACATGTCATTTAATCAAATTTCTGGTCCAAGCATTAGCTTTTATTTTTTTTCTTAATGCTTTAGGACAGCATAGAAGACAGTGTAAACTGATTTCTCTAAAAAATATCTAAGGCACACTTGCCTTTACTTGGAATTTATTCTAAAATTATGACAAAGGCATCAGCTGTCCCAGCTGAAAAACTACAACACACTTTGTATCAACTTATATTACACAGGTCTCCAAAGAAGCCAATTCTTAATACTAAATGTGCATATATGTAGTCCATGGTTCTGTTAAGGTTCAGATAATTTCAAAGATATACTGCAATAGGTTTATTTAACTGGCTTTGTGGCCAAGTGGATTTAGTGATAGTATTCCAGCACTCATTACTCCCACACACCACACATGACATCCCTCTCCTCCTCTATCTGGTGGTTGAACAGGTATTATATGATAATCTATTTCCAAATCCCCAAACGGAATAAACGCCACTGTCTTTCACTAAAAATGAGATGATTTCACTGGGAAGAACACAGGAGGGTAGAAGGCAGAGGGTAGAACATTTGTTAACACGAGAATGTGGTTTGAAAACTAAGAAATACCCACTTCTGAAAGACAAAAATGAATGTTGGTAATGAGAATACACAAAAAATATGTGCTCTAGATTCTTTGTAGTTGTACTGAGTAGGCTGATGAGAACATCTCCCCCTCTCCCCCCTGCTCTGCCGCCTTTTTAGCAGTTTGCCTGACTTTTGATACTAGTCATTTCCAAATAAATGTTCAGTGTGTAAGTATCAAACTTGAAAAGAAGTCACTTTCTTGGGAGCTTTGGAAATTATGTGGCAGTCTGATTTACAGAACTTTAATTGTCCTCCTTACTTTGGCTCTAGAATGAACAAACAACTAGATGCACAAGTAATAAATTTTTAAATGTCATGGCTGTTAACAATTGTCACTTTATTTTTGCTACAAAATTCACCAGAAAAAGGTACTGCAACAATCTAGTATAAAGCAAATCTTTAACCAAAGAACATGGTATAGACCTTTTTAAAATAGTCATACTTTATCACAATAACTGCAAGGAAAAATTCAAGTTCTATCAGAACCAAGCTGCAGTTTGAGGTAGTAGAAACAGATGACAGAAAAGTTAAAACAAAAACAAAAAACTAAGGAAATACTTGTTTAAAATGTAAAAATTAATTTAATACCTTTGAAAGGGCACAGGAAACTACATATCATTTTAAGAAAAGAAGGTACTCTACTTAAAAGTTAATTTAACCATACAGGAGGTGCAAGGATTATAGAAGAGCACTTTGGTTAAGTCTCTACCCTCTGTGGCTCTACCCATTCATAAGTGAGTCTCTATGCATAAATGAGCACACCAATAGTTAAAATTACCAAATATATTTCAAATGTAAAATAAAAATTATCCAAGTTGTGGTCCCTTTATTCAAATGGTAAGTTTATCCATGCAGGAAGTCCAATATCTTAAAACGTAAAATTAAATTGCATATATCATATTCCTTCAATAGTTTGAGAAGGTCTATTGCTTTTAACAAGATTAGTATTATTCCATTTTAATACAGATATGTCAGGAGTACATAAACACAAGTACACCTGATTTACACCAGTGTTTAAACTTTTATTTCACACCATGCAAGGTCAATTATAACACATTAAAAAGTGACAACAGCTATAAGCTGCAATTTTACATTTATACACTGGAAACGTCCATTTTCAAAAGCTGAACATAATTACCATATTGTCACAACAGCTAAGCTTCAATTCAACTGTTTATACAGGTAAAATTTACTATGAAAAACAATGATTTTATATCTGTCCACATTCTGTGATACTAATTCTTCGACTAACAAACCCTTTAGGAGAGCCAAATGATTCAATCTTTTTCACAGTATCCATGCCATCCTTAACAAACCCAAATACTACATGCTTAAAGTCCAAATGTTCTGCTTTTTTCAGTGTTATAAAAAACTGAGAATTATTGGTATCCCGGCCTCGATTGGCCATTGATAATAAGCCAGGACCAGTATGTTTCACATCAAAATTTTCATCTTCAAATTTATCTCCATAGATAGACTGTCCTCCTGTTCCATCATGTTTGGTGATATCTCCCCCCTGAAAGAAGATTTCAATTAATAGGAATTCTGAATAAAATAATAAAATACACACAGATCTACCACTTACACATTAAGTCCTAAAAACTCAGCTTCCTTGAGAATGTGGTTTGAAAACTAAGAAATACCCATTTCTGAAAGACAAAAATGAAAAGGTCTTTTTCCCACCCTCAATTTCTAGCAGGTTTCAAGGTATTAGAAATTTAAACCATTTTTAGGTTAAAAGTTTTTGTGGGGACAGGAAGTTGGGTGCTGACACCAACTAATATACAGAAAAGCTAAAGAAATCTTAAGAAAATTCCAGGCAAAGAGAAACACTCAAATTTCTCAAGTTAGTGTGGTTCACTTTTCTAGACTTCAACTGTGATATACAATTAAATACAATACTTACTTGGCAAACAAAATCTGGAATTACTCTGTGAAAAATGGAGTTCTTGAAGCCAAAGCCTTTCTCTCCAGTGCAGAGTGCTCTGAAGTTCTCGGCAGTCTGAGGAACAACGTTTGAAAATAATTCCATGGTTATACGTCCTAGAGGTTCATCATCTGCGCAAACATCAAAAAACACCACAGGATTTGTCTCCTTCGATAACTCTGCTGTCAGTGATACTTGTCCTTTCTGAAGTTTCAATAAATTCTGTTGACATTCTTCAAATTTTTTTTTAAAACCATCAGCCATTTCTTTGGTTTTAAACCTCACTGCAAGCTGTTCCACTTTGGCTTCTCCATCTATTAAACAACAAAACAACACAAGGATGGACCTTAATATTAAAATAAATGTTATAAACTCTCTTATATATTTGCTATGGATTTTAGAAAAGTCCAAAAAAGTGAAAAGTAGCATTTGAATGTAGAACTCACCAGCATAATCTGAGGCAGTCCAAACTAAAGCATTGTTTGAAACATTCAAGGGTTTTAATTCCATTGTTTTAGTGATAACATGGTTTGCACACACTTTAAAAACCTGGTCTCTTCTCATTAGGATCCGGTAGTAATTCTTCATTGTATGCCAAAGAATCTTTATGTCTCCTACACCACGCTCCTTCCACTGACTGACCTCTCGATCCCATCTATAGAGTTTGGCTCTCTCTTTAAATAAAATTTCTTCATCTTCTTCTCCGGATTTTACTTCTACCTATGACAGTAGATAAAACTGTAAGCTGCTGCTTTTAACATGACAAATTCCAAAGATCCAAATTCCTCATGATATTGTTTTGCAATGACAATAACAGAATTTCAACTATAGTATCAAGATAAATGGTAATATCCAAGGGCTGGGAAT